TAAACATAATGGCTGATTTGAGAGTTTTTGCTACCATCAAGTTATTTTCAAACTTTAGTGAGACTGTTTTTACAGTGAATATTGTTGAGGAATCCAATGTATCTTCTTCAAATTGCGATATTCGGATAGAAATTCCTATTTTGAATTTTCTAAACAGAGGCCTTAAACACATTACTTTAACCTTACATGGTGTCATCTCATTGTAATCTCATTGACTTTTCTCACACATTCAGAGTGGCACATAGTTCCACAAATCCGAATAGAAAAGCACGAAGTGAGACAGTTCAATGAGAGGTGTCTGTGGCCTACATTGTGGATTGCTTACTTCACTAAATCATGCCCCCTAGTGGTACATGGAAATGAGAAATGGGTATGATTGCCTGCACGTCTTCAGATGAGCAACAACAATAGTCTTCCCAGCTTCAAGTAAAGGTTAATATCCACAAAACGAATATGTGATTGTATTATATCACTTGTAATTGCTTGGTTGCCAAAGCTGAGGACAAAAAGAAAATACACAACTCAATCTTGAGTTCAGATAAACACCCTATCTTCAGTATATCCCAAAGTCTATCAAACAAATGACCTAATTTTAGTCAGCAGGGAGGCCAAATATATATCCAGTAATCTAGAGAGATTTTTAAGGGTTATAAGGGTTCACTTTATCCAGGTGTTATGCACTATTTTGAGAATGAAAACAACAGATTTAGTCAATCAAAATCAAAGATTTGTCACCTTGTTACCTTATAAAAATATCTTCCACAAAGCAGGCTCAAACATGCTGTAATTGTTTATAGCTTTGAACTAACAGTGTGTAATCTTTGTGAAATTATTCTTTAGAGATGTGAATATATGGTTGGGTAGTCTCATAAACCATCTACGCCTGCAGGGGGCACTGAATACTTACATTACAGAAAGACAAGCTGACTGTAACTCACTTCACTAACAGGACAAAAAGAGTCCAATAATGTAATGCAATAATTGGTACATTTACATGTCACATTCTCCAAGGAAGGTTTGATCAAAGGGTCGTTTGGTTGAAAAAAGAACACGAGAGGATCTTTGCCTCTACTGCAGCCGTTTCGTAACTGAAATGCTCATAAATTACTCTTTCTACAGTGTGTGTCTCCTTTTCCCAGTGGCACTTAATCATGGATACTAAAAACAACCGGTGTGTTTCACAAACTATACAAACTGACAGTCACCTCGCTGCCACTGGTGTTAACAATAAGCATGCTTTTTTCAGGGCTTTTCAGCTAACAGATGTTTACCCAGAGCCCGAATCACAGGGGAGAATGTGAAGTATGTGGAGAATCTGTGCAAAACATGCCTGAAGTGTCTAGATATCTGTTGAATCCAAGCATATGTTCACTCAGAGTATCAAAACAGAATATAAACAAAAAGTAAGTTCAGGGGGAAATAGTATAGCAATGTGTTAACTATCAATGCTCCTATTCAAGTTCACTGGAAAACACACATTTTTTATGTTAGCAAATGTGTTTACTTTTCATTTACATTGCCATCTCTTGTGTTTGTCAACATAGTAAATCAGCATGATAGTTGGTGTCGCCTCAACCTAAGAATGCCCCCTTTGTGGGAGGAGGGTTGAGCATTGTCATCCAGGAGAGACAGACGCCAGAATGCTGCGTGGGAGACAACTTGAAAGAGTGCCAGCGTAAACACTCTCAGACCACATGTTCTCCCAGGGCAGAGGGGCTGGCCTCTCTCCAGGCACATCTGCACACAATCCCTCAGCTTTTAGCAAGCCAGCCAAGGAGACAGAGCAGGGCAAAGGAGGGGGGGGGAGAGAGAGTTCCCAGACGGAGAGAACCTGCTTCTTCTGTGACAGTGGTGTCTATGAAAAGCAGCATGCAGAGGGAGGATCACAAGAGTCCACTCCCTGTATGCAAAGGTAATAAAAAGTAAAATATGTGTAAAGGCTGACCGCCATATTTGCAAAGGTACATCTGTATCTAGACTCACGTGCCAAGGTCTGCTTGGCTACAATCATTACCCAACCTGCCCATATCCTTGAGAAGATGGATTGCTGCATAAATCAAGCTCCAGACTCACACACAGCCACACTCTGCATCTGCAGCTGCACTGCAAGCATGATGTAAACCATGCTTGTAATTCTTTCATTCTTCTGAAAAATAACCATTCCAGCTCATATTATGCCTAAATGTAAATATCAATATACTCCCATTTGTCTCTCACATCGCCCCCCAACCCACTCTTGGTTTCTGCTTTCCAGTTTCCTAGTAAAGTGTGGCTTTGTGCATGTTTTCACAGAGAGGTAATTACTGAGCAAGCTATGCTGACAACACCTGAGGAATGTGGAGCATGCAGCAGCAGCCTGTGTTCTCCTAACACCCCCCGCCCTCCACCCCAATCACTCACCCCAACTCCCTTCTCCCCCATCTGCCTCCCTCCCCCCATACAACCCACTAGCAGGAGCCCCAGTCCAACACAAAGTTCAGCATGACATTTTCACAGGAGTATTAGATTTGCAGATAATGCAGGTGTTATTTTATGGAATATTTTGGTTGTTCTACCAGGAAACATACTTCAACTCTAGATTCTTCTAGATTAAACTGCTTAAGCAACATAATATGTAGTATTGCAGTGTACAGTTACAATCAAATCTATTTTTTTTGTGTATCTGTTAGTGAAGGAAACCCTATCCGAAACCCGCAGCTCCCAACAGGCCCCAAGTTCCCGTTACTGGTGAATTCACAGTGTGTGTTGGCTGGCTCGGGCACTCTGCTGACTGAGTCACTCCCAAAACTGTCCTTGAGCTCTGTGGAACTCACAGCCCATCTGGCTGAACACTTGCACACACATATCAAAACATTGCATAGATTGAAACAGGGGGAGGGAAACACTCTGGGTGACCTAATTGCGGTCTGAAAATGGTCCAGTCGACAAAGCGTCAATATCTGGCTGGAGAGAATGATGGCAACACAGTTTTTTTTACGCAAATGAAACCAATGCGTCAAGTTTTGACATTGTATGAATGCATGTGTGTGGGAGACAGAGAGATAGAGATTATGAATTCAGCTGAGCCTCTCCCCGTCTGCCTGACTAGACCATCATGATGAAATCAGGATGAAATCCCAAGTGCATCTAGATCAACATTAAGTATATAGGCCGTTCCTCTGTCTTTCTGTGCAGCAGAATTTTTGCAGCTGTAGTTGTATTATGGAAATGCCACAGCCATAAAAACACACTGTATGGCTGAGTGAACAATTGCATATACGTTATACAGCTAATCAGTCAGGGTATGCAAGATAAAGAAAAAGGGTCAGGGGATTTAGTTGCCAAGCAACTTCTGTTGATACAAACACTTTTTTCATTCGTATGATGAGAGCATCTAAAAGCATGACAATTTATGCAAAGACAGAAGGATGCAAGATGAAGTGACTTAGATAGTTATTTATCAAGGGTTAATTGTAAATTCGAGTCAGATCCATGAACATAAAAACATAGTACAGCTGTAGTCATACCTTCCAGTGCTAACATGAGCATTATATAAGAAATTAAGAAGTCAGTTAAAAAGTGGATGCACTATAAGCTCCAGTATCACTGCGAAATAAAATACCATAACAAATAAGAGGTATACTTGGAGGAAAGCATTACTTTCACATTTTCACTGACAACACACTTTCCTTACATCACTTCGATAACAAATATGTCTGATGTATACGATTAGTTTACTTAAAAAGTAGCGTAATGTAACAAACTTCATACATTTGATTTCACTTTTGTTTTTCATTTTATTAGATGGAAGCCCAGCAGAGACAAAATATATGCTGAGAGATTCCTCTGTGAGTACATGTAGAGAATGTAACACTCTTTGCCTGTTTTGAGCATGTTTTTAATTTTCCCCTGTTTTCTTTAAGTTATTCTTTGTCCAAAGGCAGTAACTCATAGATGTTGCCTGTTACTCAGTAAATAATAGTCAGCCAGCCAAAAAGAGCTTCTGACTAAGAATACATGTGATTTGTTTAGTGCACTTGTTCAAAGATACATTCAGGAGACACATTTGCTTTGTTTGACAAAATGTTCAAAATTGAGTGCCAGTGTTGGCTACAACAAGGTTAACTTAAACTTAATGATTCAGTTTATAACATTTATTGGCAGAAATGAAATATAATATATTCATAGGTATGTTTTCATCTGTGTAATCACCTGAAAGTAAGAACTGTTGTGTTTTGGTTATCCTAGAATGAGACGTTTTTATCTACAGATGCTACAGACACACAAACACTGACTCTAGATAGGGCTGTACTTTTTTTTGCACGTTTCACAGCCACCATAGTTTCCAGCCTGAGCTTGAAAAGGGAGGGTGAAGCTTATGAGTTGCAATCTGCAACTGCACCGCTAGATACCAGGAAAATTGTTTATTTAGACTTTATTAGGATATTTTACCTTTTACACTGGAGAAATTATCAGTACCTTACCCTCGGCATCTATGGTTCTGTTCAATTTAATATCAACATAATTTCCCATATATTCTAGCTATCTACTGATTCAGTTAAAATATGCCACATCAGGACAAAAAGTCATTCTTTTTCAAAAACCTGTTTGTAAATATTTAAAGCTATTCCAGGCTAACAGTGAGTCATGTCTACTTCATTCTCAGGAAATAGAACCAGTGGGCTATTCCCTTTTTACTTCTGGTGCATTATTTCCTCTTGACCTGAAGCTCATTTGGCCTGTCACTAAAACCAGCTGTGAAAAAGACTGACTTTATTGGAGGATGCACGGGGAAACACGCTTTGCTTCTGCAGAAAGCCTGAAAATCATAATTTCCATGCGTGACTCTGGTACACATACTGGAATATGGGTTTCACTTTGATGACTTGGCAGTGGAATTAATATTAAATATATTCTTTATCTCCTGAGTATATAAAAAAAATGAGAAGATGGGGCTGGTTGGGGGGGGCATGAACCCCATGAGATAAAGTCAGATCTAACACATATCCAGTGTGTGGAGAGCTGGGAAGAGCCACTCCAATCACTACCGCTGTTCCTGGCTGAATGTCCCTGGCTGACGTCAGCTGACTGCCTGCCTCGGCTCTCCGCTCCTCCGGACACAGCGCCGCGTAAAAATGCTGCTCTCTGTGCCGCCAAGGACAGGAATCAACCCATACAACGGCTACACCGGCAAAAACAGCAAGAGGGTAAGCAGCAACACCACAACCTACTTCTGTGCTCTCTTTCTAAACCACTGAGTGATTTCCTCGATGCGGTGTTTGTTCGAGCTCTGCCTCTTCTTCAGTTAAAAAGCTGCTCGGCTGTTTAAGCTGCAGTGTCCTTGAAAAGTGGATCACAGGCGACGTTTAAACTCTCTTTGCGGCTGTTGCAACATTTGCTGTCGGGTTTTTTTTCCTTCATGTTGTTGTTATACTGTTACAAACTAGCACTGGGCCCGTTACATTGTTGCTTGTAGATTACTAGTTTTTTTTCTCCCCCCGATACGGTCGCTGTTCTCTTCCTATACCCAGCCTGCACACAGAGTACCGCTTACAAATGTGCCGTAGATGCTCGTAAGGCTCCGAACAAGCAAAAACAAATTGAAAGAGGGTAATTATATTCGACTTTTATATGAATTCGTGGGGGTTGAATCAACTACGCATTGGTTTAGGTAATGTTTTCATTGAATAAACCACAAGTTAGTAAAGTTTTTTTTTTCCTCTTTTACGCGTAGCGTTATGCCCCACCCCTTCAGTGCTGGTGACTGAGAGGGTTTGCATGGCAATATGAAAAAGAGGAAAGTTACGGAGCCCATGTAATAAGTCTAATGCAGATGTAATATCTGTGGCTTTATGTGAGGATCGGTTATAGATCAATGGCAATAGAGCTGGAACAATATATAATGGCTATTATTGATTAGCTCGTCTTCTCATATGAATAATTCATGGGGTGACATTGCTGTCTATTTTCAGCCACTTTCTTCTGTACAGACTATGTAGATTTTTCATGTTTAAAATTGTAGGACATATTAAAATAAAATGTTAGTCTAGAATTTGAAGCATTTTGAGTGCAGATTCTTGAATAAATTAAACGATTAAAATTTCATGCCACTGTGTCTTAAAAATGTTGCAGCACAAATGTGACTTGCTGATGCCTGACTTCTCACCATTTCTTGAATAACATTTGAACAAAGCTGAAATCAAACACCTCCCCTCCTTCTCCGTGTTATTCCCTTCCCTGCCTCACGGCTGGCAGGAATTCAGATTGCTCAGATTAATGACCTGGAATTCCTGGAATCCCTGGATTCAGACAATGTGCTCATTTCAAGAGGGGCTCTGCAAACTCAAATCTTTTTCTTGAAAGAAGACATGCACACTTTTTATTGTGCACATTTCGCATTGTTAGAGCGCCAAAGTCACACAGAGGGAAGACTTGTAAATCCAGCATCAAGTGGTAACCCCTGGTCTGTGTCTTTTACTACGGGAAAAAGGGCGGAGAAAAGAAAGGATTAAGAGATTTACCCCCCTTGCCTCTGCTTTCGATTAACTCCCCCCTTCTTTTTTTTCTCCTGTGTGTTTCACATACCTTAATTTCATGTCTGTCAGTGGTTCAGTTCACATGGAGAAGAGAGCCTGAACCTTCCTCTGAACTGATGAATCCCTTGTCCTTAACATCTACTTTCCGCTCTCTTCAGGTTGCTTGATACCTGTTGAAAAGAGACTTTTTTAACCGTCTGTTTTAAGATTTTGTTTCTCCAATGAAACTGGATTGAGTCAGGAGAAGGAGAGCAAGGAGAAGACTCACCTTTTAGCCACAGGACACCAAGGATTTTCATCACTTTTCTTATTTGCTTGTTCCCACCTTGCACTGTTTTTCTTGCTTTCTTTTTTGCCTGCAGCTGTAGGAATATAATATAAAGAGATTGTGTCTGTAACACTATGATATTTTCCACGGTACCTTTTAAAGTTTCTTTAGCCAAGCAGGTAGGACTCCACATTTAAGATTTCTCTCTCTCATTCAAGATGCAATGTGGCATGTGTTCATAAAAATATACTTATTGCAGAGCATGATTATTAAACTATTTTGGCAATATAGAGCTAGAGATAATGATTTCAGCAGTTTACTTGTGCATTATTGAAATTCTACTGTATGGTGTATAGTAATATAAAGTACCATTATGTTGATAATGATAAGAAAAAGACATTTTATTTAGGAAATAGTTCAAATAATTAATATGTCTGACCTTTTTAAATTGAATGTAATTCTCTTTTTCTAGGACTTTAGGCTATAGGCTTACTTTGGGGTAAAGATAATTAGATGAAAGAACTAAATGGGATGACCTTAAGAGGATTTTGTTAGATTGTTCCAACATCGTCAGTATCAGTCGCTCAAAAGGTTTGTGTTGCCAGAGAGACGTACAAGAAAGCGACACACAATCACTCATATCTTTGGCATTTGCTTCACTATAGAGTTAAAGCCACACATCCTGCCTCACTCGGCACTCATTGTTCTCTTGGATTAAAAAGTCCTTGAGTCACCTGCGCTCCCTATAGGCATCACCTCTGCTCCCTCCAACTGTAATCACCTCATCAGTCTTCAGCTGCTGCCTGGAGCACACTCCCTTTCTCTGCACCATTCTGTAGGCTTCTTACTGTAGTTATATAATATATAATAACGAGGCAAATAGCTGATTTATCTTTCTGCATGTTAATATACACTGTAAAAAATAAATGCCTCTTGTTTTTATATATTTTTTTGTATGTCAATTGTAACATTGTGTATGTTCACAGGAGGATTTCCTGTATCTATCAGGGTTAGATGTTGTCTTGTCAAGAAGGCCAGTTCGCACTGAACTGTGATGCCTCCAGGAATGTAATTCAATTTAATGACAGCTTGAACTCTAACCTCAAACCCAAAACATGTCCCCCACAAGCCCCCTGCCCATTTCAAAGAGAGAAACAAACGTGTGTATTGCATAGGAATGTAAAGAATGCTAAGGGGCGACACGGTGATGCATGTGAGGAACAGTGAAACGATGTAGCGGCTGTGGTCTAAAGAGTAACAAGGAGGAAGTAACAAGCCAGGAGGTCAGGTTTTGGACACAAACTAAGTAAGAGGATATGCAACCTTGCAAGCGGAAAAAAATGAGAACTGTGAATCCTAATCTTGCACATTTAAAACTCATACTTCACTGACCTTCCCTTTATAACTAACATTTGTGTTCTTCTTCATGCACATTTGCCTGTGTTTGCGCCAGCACATTTGGCATTACCTTACATGGGTGGCAAAACACCTGGAGCTGGGCGCTGGGGCAGATGGGGAGTAGGTGTGGATCTGATTCACTGCTATCCTTTTCTCAGAAGGAGCCTAGCAGAGCGGTCTTAATGAGACACTACCTTCTGACTTGAGAGCACATGAGAGGGATTAGCACTTTCCGCTAACAAGCTCAGATCCTAATTAGACAGGCCTCACTAGCTAGGCTCGGGCCCGGACTCGGTCTCCCGTCAGATCCTATCTCCCCAGGCCTCTGCAGGTGCATCCCTCCTGATAGTCTGTGCGGGCCGCCTACAGTGAAGGCAAGGGAAAGCACAGGAAGAGGCTGTGATTGTGGAAAAACAAACAGTGTACTATTGATGCTAAAGAAGAGAGGGAGATTAGAGAAGAGGACCAAGATGAATGGGGTCTGTGAGTCACTGTGATTTTTCTCAGCTTGAATAAAGTTCAGAAGGCTGATTCCTTTGGAAAGAGTTTGGGAAACACAAGGTATCTGGGTAATGTGGATACAATCTGTCTGAAAGGATGTTGCTATATTATACATATATACAAGTTATAAGGAATAGATATCGGAGTACAGATATTCAGGGTTTAGCTGTCAGGTAATAATGGCTGTGTATTAGGGAATACTGCATTCATGTTTCACACCTACATCCTCATACATGATTGGCATGCATCTTTAATAATATGTAAATTTGTCCAGTTATGCTGCCTGTAGACATATCTAGATTTGATACTGATCTGACATATGTAGAGGGAACAAAATTAAATGACTTTTTACACGTGGAGAAGTAGTTTCCTTCAACTATAAGATGAAGTCATATTAACGATTTAATAAATTCCAGTCTGTTTCATCAGTTTAATCCAAGAGTGGTTAAGCTTTATGTTCAGATAAGATGTTCCTTTATTGATCCCCTGTGGGAGAAATTCAAGTTTGTTACTGGGGAAATGTAGTAAAAACAGTAGAGAAGAGTAAAAATACAATACAAGAACAATAAAATAAAGATATAATAAAAAATATCAAAACTATAATGAAAATATATACAATATATTCAATATGCAATAAAGTGGAATGAGTATAACTGTGCATGTGCAATTGTAATCAGACTACTGGGTACTGCTACTGGGTGCTGTGGGGTCTGATGGCTGATGGCACTGGTTTGAAAAGCATTGAAAACGTAAAGTAACATTAGACCAGGACAAACGTTTAATGTGTGCATTTAAAATACAGTGTACAACAAAAAACAACAACCGCTACCTTCCATCGCAGGACGTCCAGCTAGCTAGCTAGCGTTAGCTAAATATTGGCTATGCTGTTGCTTCCTCACAGTCTTTCAAAGTTCAGGAAGACCTCCTTGTGAGCTTATGTTGTATGACATGTCGGCAAAATTACACACGAAGTACTAACGAATATTAACATCTAATTTAATGCAGCTTTATTCCGTTTTCCTGCTACCGATTTAAGTAGTAATTGCTGTTGTTGTTAACTTCTGAGTTGACTGACGTGACGCGTGGCCAATCAAAACGCGTTTAGTAAGAGCTCTATTAGTTGATTGGCTGTGGTGGTGAGGAACACACATGATTGGTTGATTTTGCTTTCTCCCCTCCTTTTCTTCTATAGTTTGAGATCTGTCACATGGTTTATCATCAAGACCAGATCTGAATCTCAAAAACTTAGTTTTAGTTTTGTTACCTTGCAGAGTAATATTAGAGTAGAGTAGACATTAGACTGCAGGCATTGTGAGTGTGAAACAAACATTCATACTTTAGTTTCAAACGTTTAAATCTTATTTTTCACTTTTAAAAACTTTGTTTTAATATTATGAAATGTGATGTTAACTTAATATTTGTACTATACCTGGTTAGAACAAATCCACACACACACACACACACACACACACACACATAACAGAGAGAGAGAGAGAGAGAAATTGAGAAGTCACAATTAGCTTGATTCCAGCAGTCTTTTGACAACTCTCACTCTGTTAATAAGCTAGTGCTCCAGTGCTGACCTTGTGGTGTCCAACAAGCCATCCCATTGTTCCCTGGGGCCGGGCCTGCTGACCCTAACTAATCAAACAGTTCCTCCTCCACCAGCACTGAGAGGAGGCAACACCAGCTGACATTTTACTTCCATACCAATTTGATTTGCACATGCATTTAAGATTCCTTATCACTGCCTTGTATGGTGGTACATTCATGGTGCAATCAGTAACATGCATGCATTGAGGTCTCTGCATTCTGCTCCTTTCATACTCTGATTGTGACCTTAATGCTTAGTTTAAGAGCACTTAATAGTTTACCCAAAAAGAAAACAACCTTTAGATCTATATTATTATATTATATGTTTCAGAATCAGAATCAGATCAGATATTTATTTATTTATTTATATTTATAAGTAGGCTATCTAGATCGTATAAGACAATGGTGGTGACTGGTGAATGGAATTATTAATTATATAATAATAATTATATTTCATTTGCTGCTCAAAGCACTGGCAAATTCATTTGGAAAAATAAAGGTTTATTTCCAGAAACAATGTCTTGGTTACTGTGGATAAGCCACAGTCCTCTCTGTGAACAGTTTTGATTGGAGCTATTTCAAATACTCCCAATGAAAACCTTTCCAGCTTCAACCAATAACATAAAAGCCTCCTTTACAGTAGTGTGGAGGTCAGCCACTTTAATTCGAGCTAGATTTAATATTTAATGCTTTGTTTTTTAAATCTGTAAATGGGCCCACTTGCCATCACAAGATAGGCAACACTTAAATATATACAGGCAACATTTTAGTAAGGTCAATATTGCTACAGAATAGACATATTAAACACTGGGTCATAATTAATATTCCAAAAATATTTCCAGCCTTCCCCCATTTTTGCTCAGACAGATAGTGAACATTGATTTGTAGGGTCAACATCCATTTATCTTCTACCCAAGCAGGGTGAACTGTATTGCTGCTGGCTGCTTGTAGGGGAGTCTGATTCATTGTATCAGTAAATATTTGAAGTTTCTATAGTACCTTGTAGTTGGTGATTTTTCTGATCACTACTTAGCCAGCGCACATTCAGAGCCTTTAGTACACTGAAGTACACATCATGCCCACATGTACCTTTCTATGTATATATGACCTTTTAATGTGAATATGTGCATATTCTGTTTATGGTACATGCTGCAACCCCACATATTGTTCTTTCTCACGTTTCTCTTTGGATATATGAATTACACCATATTAATATTTGTATTTTTTATCATTTATTTGTACTCCATATATCAGACATTTTGGTGTATTCTTCTTTTCATGCATCTTACATATTTTCCATCTCATTTAATATAACCTTACCTGATCTGTCAAGTCAAATGAAGCAGCTTAATTGCTATTGGCATCCTGACTCTGTGGCCCCATTTGGATGTCATTAGGTTGACCAGCCACTGCATTAGTGTGTACATTAATTTCATGTACCAATGAAGTATGCCGTGTATTTGTTTTGCAGCAGACGTATGTGTCCCCCTCCAACCATCAGATGGCTCCTCCAAGCCCCAACAACAACAACAATAGCAACTCCACCACCACCTCCATCAGCAATGGCAGCAGCAGTAGTGGGGGAGAGCAGCTGAGCAAAACCAACCTGTACATCCGTGGCCTCCACCCAGGGACCACAGACCAGGATCTGGTCAAACTCTGTCAGCCGTAAGTCATCCATAAACAGTTGCTCTAACCTCTACATGTACACCCAATAAATCTCTCCCTAGCTGCCCGCTGCGCCCATGAAACAGATTGCAGTTGCTGAGTAGATTAAGATAGAACGAAGTGCTGTGTGCGTAGATAGATGGGCAATGGCTGGCTGGCTGGCTGGCTGGCTGGTTGGCTGAATGCATCAAGGATTGCATGACTATTTACTTGAACGACTCCCTTACACTTTAAATGCACATGAATGCAAAAGCACACCTTAGCAGGTATTTCTGGATCAAGACTAAAGAGGGGCCACATTTTCCTCCAGACGTTTTCAAGGCCCATCATTTAGTGGCCTTGTGGAAAAACCAACAATCATTTGGGCAGCAAACTAAGACGTTTCAGTTTGGCACAGATAAGCACAGACTTTCCAACGACTAGGTACAGAATGTTTAGTCTCCCTCTCTCACGCTAATTTTTTCTGTATGTCTCCTCTAGCTCCTTCTTCAATTTTTAGAACTTGGATGAGTTATTGCTCCTCTGTGTTTTAGTCTAGTAGATTATCATCAAGCAGTATGATGACAATGAGACTACACTATGAATACCACGCTATGTTGCTCATCAGTATGAGTGTGAGTCTTTGAAAACTCTGTTGTGGGCAGTGTGTAGTCAGACATCAAACAACAGCATCATCCAATCCATCTGATATGTTTGTAAGGCCTTCAGTGGAAGACATCAAAACAAGTGGGGCTGAGATGAATGATCTGGGTTCACTAAATTGAATTCTGGAGCCTGGTGATGAGGACCAGAAGAGCAGAGGAGAGGAGCGAGAAAAAAGGAGGGAAAGAGGGCTTGAGAGATTGAATAAGGGAGAGAGGGAGGGAGAGGCCTGCTATTTTACAGCTGTCTGGAAGATATGGCTCACATGAGGCTGCCCAACCCTACAGGAAACGGCGAGCCCAGGGGAAAGGGAAAGACAAACAAGGGCAATGGCATGAAAGGGGGAGGGGGGTGAAAGGGGTGTATGGAGAGAATCAGAGGGGGAGGAGTGAATGGAGTTAAGGGTTTGTGTATCAGGTGGTGTTCTGTGGGGGTAGTTCTCATATTTCTGCTTTTACAGAACAGATAAAATCACTGCATGAAATTTGCCTTTTAGCAGATTACATTAAGGCCAATGTAATTTCAGTTAAACTGGACTGAGAGAGGATACTGTATCCAATAATGGTTAATAGGGTAAATGCTTGTAGATTAGGATGTAAAACTGTATGAAAGACAAGTCATAGAGGGAATCTGACTTGCTTAACTCGAGTTTGAACAGTAAATGTGTGCATAGTATCAGGACACAACCCCTCCCCCCTTCACTGAGAGTTGCTGTATGCGCGCTCCGAGATGTACTGTGTTGGGAGTGAGGGATGGGATGGGATGGGGGGTTGGTTCTCCATCTCCGGCCCCTGCAGTTGTCTCTCTGGGTGCCTCACTGCCTCTCTGGTTCTCGCCCCGGTCCGTCTCTGGTGGTTGACCATGGATGGACATTGGGCTGGGCTATACTGTGCTCTCTCACACATGGCTGAGTCTTTAGCCCCTCTTTTCGCTCTGCATCACGTAGTCCGAGTTCCTGAGCGCAATTAAGTGGACGGGTATCTCAACTGTGTAAGCAGGGGAGTGCAGCAAGAACAGCTCAGAGCTTAAATGTTAGTCATAATGTGATGTTGTAGACTGGTGGGGTTGCTGTGTACCAACAGCAATGATTCATATTAAAATGAAGGAAGACAGTGTTGGCATATGCATCCAGTCCAGTTGGTGGCATCTTATGGCTTAGAATCAGAAATGCACCATGAAATAGTAATGTTATAGGAATCCAAATGCATAATACAACAGTCCTTCAGTTCCACCAACAGTGGGTGGATTCAATTGCAGAGAATTTGGATAGGATAAATGGTTATAACATACTACAAAGTCTGAACTTTTAAATAATTATAAACCACATTTTAGGATCTGCACTGCTCTGTATTGAGAATGGATAAACATAATTAATTTAAAATCTAAACATACCATGTATTTAATACTTTAACATTTATATTCCCAACGTGTAGTAAATGTGATCTACTGTTGTATTGTCAAAATCAATAATTTAGAAGAGTTGGATATTCCATTAAAAGCATTAACATGTTCACAGGTGACCTTAAGTCACCTTGATAAAGGAATTAAGATTTACAGATTTATTTTTTTATGAATGGGAAGTGACCCTAAATTAATTTAAAAGAAACAATGTAGTTTCAGTATTGTCAGATTACACTTTTAGCAGGCAATTGCTTAATCATTTTAATGTATAACATATTTTGAAAGTGACTCTTCTTGCCCATATGTAATGTGGCAGTGGTGCAGTGTCACTAGATGAAAGCTGGATTGCATTATGGGGGCACTAAGACCCAGTGGAGGGTCGAGCACTTCCCAGAGAGAAGCTGGTTAGTAGAATGAGAGTATGGCTGGGAGCCAGCGTTGGTCAGTACTGCCAAGGAGAGGCATATCAGATTACACTGCATGCACATGCCTGGAGAGATGGGAACCGATAGACACTGTGCCGCACAGAAGCATTTGCTTGAGCGAGGCATTATCCTATGCATCTGCAGTATCTAGCTGGATGGATAATGCAGGATTTTTATATTGATGAAACACGATGAAGCAATCTGAAAATGCAGAAAAAACATTTACTTTTACCACATTGCTACGTCATGTTTGAGTCCCCTTGAGTTATGATCCCTATTGACATCTGTGTGTGAGCTGGAATGAACAGATATGGGAAATCTATAGTTCATTGTAGCATGCAGAAACCCATGGGACATTACTCTTATTTTATTTCATTTATGTTCCACCCCCTCTCTAAAGATTTCCCGATGCACATCATTTGTTATCAGATGGTGTAATTGTATTCAGTTTCATTTCACTGAATCGGTCAGGTGAATTATAATTCAGCCCTCATAAAGCACAATCTCTTAGAGTGAAGGTTTAGAGAGAAACCACATTGCCTCAGCAATGTTGCAGTACTAATATTGAATGTAAACAAGTCATTGTTGTCAGTACACAGTGCGAGAACAATCCTTGAGTGTAATCGTCACTGTTTTTCAGGTATGGGAAAATCGTATCCACCAAGGCCATCCTGGACAAGACTACCAACAAGTGCAAAGGTGAGGTTTAAGGGTTATCAGCTGGTTGACAGTAACTGTTGAGCTAAGGTTGAAAGATCGGGTTCATACAGAGGTGGCAAAGCAAGCTCAAAGTCAGTGTGTGATCTTTATGGTAAAATTTAACAGCAGCTAAAATTTGTAACTTTAGTGTTAACAACACCAGAATTCCCAATGATTAACTGTCTGTTGATTTACTAGGAATGTAAAGATATATCATGAGACAGACAAATATGTGAAGATTCAAATCGCTGAGATAAATCAATTGTGGTATCAAGGCACAAAGACTTACCTCAGAAATAGAAGAGGATTCTATTATTTGATAAAGAAAGAATAAGAAGAAAAATAGATTTTTATCTAAGAAAAGAATATTTTTCAGTTATAATTTGTCTTCAATCTCATTTTGTTAAAAAAAACAACAGAATTGTATCGTGAGTTGACTGTATCGCCCTACAATTGACTAATGGATTTATCAATTATTCTTTGCAGCTCTATTATGATTGTATATAGTGTTTATATTCCTTGCAACCATGGTCAATAAATGTGAATCTGAAATTGAAAATGTGAAATCCATAATATTTTTACATGACTATAAATTTATTTTAATGCCTGTATGGCATATAGTAAACAGGGGAAATAAATCATTTTAGATGTTTGGAGATGCACTTACATCTGTGGATCTCTATAATTCTATCTCATTAATATCCTCAGTAGATGATGTATTCACTAAAACCTTAGCTTATTAGTTGGTGATATTTTCACTGCATACCATCAAAAAAAAGGTGAAATAACAAAACAAGCATGACACTATATAGTTTGTTGGTGTTTATTTGCCATACTTTGAATGTGTAGAAATGTACAAATTGCAATTATGAGGTTACAACACATACTTTCTTTTCAATAAAGCTGTTTGCTTTCGGTTTCGGTTTGGTTCGGTGTTTACTGTGTATTAAGCTTCACACTACACCTACATAACAAGTGTGTATTATTTACCATAATGTTGGCAGTGTTGTATAACTCTGTCCTCAATGGACATCCAGCTAGGCTTCATGAGTTCCAATAACATGCCTGTGTCCATAGAGTTCTGTGGTATGCATATCTCATTGTTATAACTTATATGTCTTGCTGTTTGTCTCGGTCCCTGCAGGCTATGGCTTTGTTGACTTTGACAGTCCAGCCTCAGCTCAGAAGGCAGTGACGGCGCTGAAGGCGGGTGGAGTGCAAGCTCAGATGGCCAAGGTATGAACCTCCTGAATATATCAATATCTGTCTTTTTACAACTTGCTGTCAGCTTAATTCACAGTTAAATTTTCAGCATCTGAAAAAAAAACTTTTTAACAGTGACTCAGCAAATAGTTCAAGGATGAATTATTAATCACAAATTAAATGGTGAATTATTAACCTTGCAGCAGAAAGGTTGTTCCTTGGCGTCCTTGTCCTACTTTCTATGAATTTAATTTTAAAGCTCTCTCCAGCTCTTTTCTCTCTCTGTGTTTTTTCGTTGTTATTCGAGCCATGGTTCAGGAATATAAGCCAATTATAGCCTCAGTTTGTGTGTGCATGCATGTGTGTTGGCTGAGTAGTACACTGCATATGGGTGTATGCTTAAATGCGTGTATTTATGGGTGTTAATGCACTATAGAATATGTGTGTGCACAAACAAGAGAGCACGGATGCACACAGGTACATGTGTGTACACGTGTACATGGTGTACATGGTGTGTGTGTGTTGTCCTCCATAGTGGTGACGGTGTTGAGGGAGTGTGTCCCAGGGCCTGCTCTCTGAGCTCCCTGTACAAAGGACCTGTCTGTTCTCCCTGGTGGCATCTGACTCAGTGTCTGAGCAGCTCCCCAGTCAGCAGGGCCCTGTGCCCAGCCACCCGCCCTGTCAACACACACACACAACACTTGACAATCACACATGCACTTCACCAGCCTTTCCTCAACCAGATTATGACACACACTCACAAGCACGCACATGCACGCCACCAACACCCTGGGAAAGCTGATCTTTCGTTAAGCTGGATCACTGACATTCATACGGCTCCTTTCTCACAAAATAACTTGATTCCACTCACCCCTTCACTCCGGGTTTACAACAAGGCTTATGTTTGCGTCAGATTTCTCTCTGACTCAGTCTGACTCATTCGCGGTTGAAACCCACAGCAGGTCTCCTCTGCTCGCTCATATGGATTCGAGCTTCGGCGCCAGTTTGCACTGCTGTGAAGGAGGAAGAGGAGGAGGGAGGTGAAGGAGAAATCACCTTCAGCGCAGGTCGCTGCAATTACACATGCATTATTCATAGGATGGAAATTAATTCACACCACATTTACAGGTTTTTAATCACATCTGCACTCTGAGATAATGAATATGCATAATGGTTAGAGGGTGATACAGATTGGTTATCTTACAAGATGCTGTTGGTCAAATTAAGTTTGTTTGAGTAGGAGGAAAAGTAGAGAAAAAAAGCCTACACAGTACTTCAAAAGCATAAAATAAAACTGTGGCACTAAGAGTTTCTTTCAGGTTGTTTTCTAATAATTGCAAATTCAGATTTGGAAAGGCTGCATAATTTGTCTGATTTATGCAAGCCAACAGAGCTGGCCTTTGTGCCTGCATTCAAGGTCGGGATTACCACATGAATATAACTGCTCTAATGCAAGCGACATATTATCACCATGACCTAGGAAACAGGATGATAATATTTGCCTTGTGGGGAGATGATAGCATAATGCTTTAGATGCTCTCCAGATCATTTCCAGAGGTCTCTGTCCAAAGTGTCTCAACTGTGATTCCCCACCGAGCGAGTGCACGTAATCATTTCAGATCATCCATGGATGGAGAGCCAATTGAAATGTAATTATGCTTTGATATCACGTTACCTGGACCCTGTGCTTTCATCCTCCTAAGAGGCCAGTCTCACACAAAGGGCCTGTCTTCTACCCTTGTGGTAATAACACAAGGGTAGATGAAGTATGAAAGAGGAGTGTAAAGACAAAAAGAAGTGAGTTGGATGAATAAAAGTAGAAGAGACAGAAATAGAGTCAAAATGAGAGAGAAGTTCAGCTGAAGTCCTGCCAGAAGACTATCTCTACCATCTCTGAATATCTGTTTTCTCTTCATCCATGCAGCTCACTTTCTTATACAAGGCCAAAATGAAATCCACCTTCAACTTCAAACCCTCTACCCTTTTCTCTCAGACTGTTTTTTTAAACTGTCTGATGTCCTGCACCTGCCACCCATCCAAATATCAGACATCTCACACGCTTCCTGTTAAAAGCTTATATAAATTCCCTCACACTATTGCTTGCAGCTTTTGTGTGGCTCTTTTTTTGGATTTCTGGAGGGCTCCTGACATAAATGATACAGTTGTTATTTTACCACAAGAAAATGGAGATCTCTGTGTGCTCTACATCCTCATTATTTAATCTTCTCTTGGTTTCTCTGTATGTTCAGCAACAGGAGCAGGACCCCACCAACTTATACATCTCCAACCTGCCTCTGTCCATGGACGAGCAGGAGCTGGAGAACATGCTGAAGCCCTTCAGCCAGGCAATTTCCACTCGCATCCTCCGTGACGCCAACGGGACCAGCCGAGGAGTGGGCTTTGCCAGGTATAAGCCTTGGTTATTTAGTCACATCTATTAGGACAGCTGGTTGATTAGTGATGGTGTAGCTGCAAGTGCTTTGAAGAAAATATCCAGTTGCACAATGACAAATTCAAAAATTAGAGTAGTCAGTACTCACAGTGATAGATCCACTTCAGTATTATTCATGGTGAGTGGGCCCTCTGGTGGCCAGTACAGGTAGAACATTTCCTACACATCATGATACCTCGTAACCTGCTACTGTTGAACACTTACCTTTTCCTATAGGATGGAGTCAACCGAGAAATGTGAAGCCATCATCCAACATTTCAATGGAAAATATATCAAAACTCCACCTGGAGTTCCAGGTGAGCTTTTTTCCATTTCATATCTTTGAGATGATATCTTGTGTAGCATAATGTACCATCCTTAACAATAACACGATATTTTCTGACTGATCCAGTGCCGCCAGAGCCCTTGTTGTGTAAATTTGCTGATGGAGGACAGAAGAAGCGTCAGAATCAAGGGAAATATCTGCAGAATGGCCGGCCCTGGACAAGAGATGGGGAGACTGTGAGTTTGATTCATGTCCTCATAACTTCTGTGAAAACGCTTTATTGTGCAACATTGCTTGTGATATATTGATCAGCCGCCTAATGACACAGTCCTTGGTTTTTGTTTTTTCTCCAGGGGGGAATGACTCTTACCTATGACCCCACCACAGCCTTACAGAACGGGTCAGTACTACTAGTCTGACACCAATCCTTTCTTAACCCAGAGGGAGTGCTATCATGTCGTTGTGGTGACTAATACATGTGTGTTTCTTTCTGTAGGTTCTATTCCTCCCCCTACAGCATTGCCCCCAACCGGATGATTGGGCCGACCTCCCTCTCCCCGTACATGCATTCACCTGTGTCTACTTACCAGGTATTTTGCCTTACCCTCAAAGCTGAGCGTTAGTTAGTTAGTTAGTTAGTTAGTTAGTTAGTTAGTTAAGATGCTAATCTGTTACAGCCCGGGGTTTAATCAAGCCCAGACCTGCTGTCACATACCTATAAATCCCATAATTATGTTAACTATGTCCCCATAGTTGCCAAAGGTGGCATGGTGGCTCAGTGGTTAGCACTGTTGCCTTAGGCATGGGCTAAATGCAGAGAAGGAATTTCCCTACAGGATCAATAAAGGAAAACTTTTAACTCAAGTAAATCAACTTTAAATATAAAAACAACACAGTTGTTGTACAGTTTTGCTTGTCTATTTTCTAATATGACTGAATCTTTTTAGATTATGTAATCTTATTATGGTACACGTGTATCTTTTTTGTTCCTGCAGGTACACAACCCATCCTGGTTACATCATCAGTCGTACATCATGCCACCCACAGTGAGTATCTTTAATTTTAAAGCTTTTGGCCTTCCTCCGTGTTTTAGTTTCAGGAAAAGCTTTTTAATATTCTGCTGCCTTCACATGAGTCGGTCTGACTCATGTGAGTCTACGTTCACACTGCAGGGAAAAGTGGCCAAAATTTGCATTTCTTTTGCTCATATGTGACTCAGGTCTGGTTTTTTTTTCATGACATTGTGAGCAGCACAAATCACATGAAATCTGATCATTTTGATTCTGATTCAGGACACTTTCATATATGGTTTGATTTTTTGCAATGCGACCTCAGTGTGAACCGACTTATCAGAATTCATATGACTTTTACGCCACTCTAGATCAATATTCCTTATGCAGGTAACTTCAGGATCCTGACCTGTGAACATAGGAATCTGATATAAAAAAAGAATGTGAACAGCCAAAGAAAAACAAATCTGATCAGAGCACTAATTCTGAATTGAGCGCTAAGGCTTGCAGTGTGAACATAGCCAGTCTCTTTGTCCAGATGGCAAGTGCCAACACTACTGTGTGTTTTTTCATAGGGAGCAGTCCTGACTCCAGGAATGGACCACACCATGTCCATCCAGCCGACCTCGATGATGGGACCCCTGACACAGCAGCTCAGCCACCTCTCCATGGGCAGTAGTGGCACAGTCAGTAGAGTATTCAGCATTCTGCTATCAGTGATATTTAACCGTGAGAGCTGCACTAGATAATTTGACATATGTGAGGCTCAGAATGGCAGCTGAAAAACACTTAAATTTATACATGCAAAAGTCATGTGAGGTGATGTCAGTAAACCTCACAAAGAACACTCATGTGTACTAAGCTAACTGGTCTGTGATTGTGTTATACAAGATGATACCAAAGGGTTGAGAGAGGCAATGACCTCAACTTTCCCTGCATGTACATTCACCACTTTTAAGGTTCTGCTATATCTTTAGGTTGGAGATAACTAGACTAACTTTTTTTTGTGAAAATTGGGTAATGTTTGGATGAGATTTTCTTCTTGAGTTGCAGTTCCCCTTTATGATTTTTGGCTGATAAAGACAGGTGTAATTTCACTTACAAATCTTGTGTAATGCAGCTTTATTTGACAGTGTTATTGCCGACGTAGCCATCACGTCCAATTAACTTATCGTCTTCATCCTCCTGCAGTATATGCCTGCAAACACATCTATGCAGGGGACCTACATCCCCCAGTACACCCAAGTGCCTGCCGCCAACATCTCAGTTGAGGTAATGACCTCTGTTTTCTCTCACTAGAGCAGTTTAACACTAAAATGTTATTTGAAACAATCACTCACAGATTTAATATTTGCTGCCTCCCTCTCAGGAAAGTGCCGTCCAACAATCCGTTGCCATAGAGACACCCACAGAACACACAGCCTACTCCTACCAGCATAACAAGTGAAGAGGTGGGTTTTGATTATTGCTAGGGTCTGTGTGTGTGTGTGTGTGTGTGTGTGTGTGTGTGTGTGTGTGTGTGTGTGTGTGTGTGTGTGCATACATCTCAATCCAAAAACATTTCTTTGTTGTGCTGTGATGTTACTGCAGAAGGAGATAGTGCAGCAGTAGCTCTCGTTTCTAATTGGCTGGTCTTGTCACCTTGTGTCTAAGATCTTCCTCTGGAGCCGGAGTGACTCTCAAGGGGCCCAAGTGCTGAGAACTCGGCACTCTGACTCTACATTCTCTACACGCGAAGGAACATGGACTGTTACACAAAAAGGACAACAAAAACAAAAAAGATATTTTCTACAAACTCATATTTTAAAACAAACTCTTTTACTCCAGGCAATCAAGACTGGAGGATGGCAGGCAATGGAAAATGGAAGAATGGAACAAGAAACATCTATTTTGATAACAGTCAAGAAACACACTCACACACACACACACACACACACACACACACACTACAAATGTTTAAAAGGTTTTTGAGCGTTATTCATATTCTTTTCTAATATTACTCCGGGGAGCTAGAATGAAACCAGGAAAAGAACATTTCAACACCATGTTTTATTTTTAGTCATGTTTTGTTTTGACGATTTGTAAGATATGCTGATTTTACTTAACTTTTTTTTTTTGTCTGATACTTTCAGGCTTTTGAACCTGCCTTTTTGTACATAATTCTTTGTTTTGGTGCATTTCTAGCTTCATGTGTTCTAGTTTGATTGATTGGTGCAAATATTTGAATTACAGAAGTCTCAAAAAAGAGTCAGTCATTTAAAAAAGCTGATGACTTGTATTTTAGACAGATATGGTGCTGACTTGGATTAGCGTCTCTCAAAGTGGCAGCAAGTTTATCAGGTATGAAACTTTACCTGAAGTGGTATCACTTCTTTTTTGGCACTTGAATCTTAAATAATTTATAGTTTTAGCAATCTCGACAAGGCTTCAGACAATCAGAAGATTACAAAGAAGAAAAAATTTAGAGATGACGATCATTAATGGCAGATTTCACAGAAAAGACTTCTTTAAAAGAGCTAAATAGATTTAAAGCATTCCAGAGATTATTATCATAAATTTCTAAATATTGATTCACTTTGAGCTGCTCCACTTGATGAAATCCAAAGTTGCTCAACAGGGATCACATCTCACACAGAGCTGCCTGTAAATAAGAGATTTAAATTTATTTAGGCTTTCTTTTGATTTCTTTTTATCGGTGTAGTATTGCTTCAGGTATTTTAATAACAACATGATACAAAATTATACCAAAAAATAGCAATCTATATATTGCTATGTGTTTTTAGTTTTTATTCCTCATGTCCCTTTTATAAAAGGGGAAGCTGAATCTCCACTAAATCCCAAAACTGTATTTTCTGAAGCAAGAATTTGATGTTGTTATTAGAGTATGAAGTTCTTATTACACAGATGTGGAGATCAACAGGTAAAGCGTGGCTCTGTCCTGTTCAGAAAACACTATTACGGTGGATTATTATGGCCAGTGGAGAGATGCTTTATTACTGGCCTTTGCTGTGTGTTTGCATATATTTCCACTTTTCTGTTTTTCACCCTCATGTTTTTTTTTCTTACATTTCTTATTTAAAGGTTTATTAAATTTTTTTTTTTTTTCAGTTTTAATACTTTTAAGATTGGTCCTATTTTTAAAGAAGCTTTGATTTTATTTTTGATAGTGTGCTGTGTGCTTCAAATAGTGAGAAATAGATGTGTTCAACTTCTCTCTGTCTTTTTTTTAAATAGTGATTTGTTCGTAAGTTTGCATACTTCTCTCCCGTTCTGGTTTCAGTGTTGATGTCAAAGATGCTTTAATGTTTTTTTTAACAGACATTTCAGTTTTGTCTGTGTCGCAAATGTTGCCGCTTTGTGAACATGACTCCTGTTCGTGGATGAATTATGTATGCTAGGTTCAGATGCATTGTTACAGAGCTGTACCCCAAGCAGTTGGGAATAATGTCAGATAAATATATGTTCAAAACCTTGACTTACCTCATCCTGCTAGAGCAATGTAGATTCAGTTTGTGTACAAGGTTCACAGGCAATAACCAACAGTGGGTCTCATGACTGTTCACAGCTGGTACTGTGTCCACATCCTTTAACTCTTCCGTCCAATGTTCGGAAAACATGCCCAAGGTCTGATGATCTATGCAATTAATTTATTATCCTTACAAATGCAATACTACAGATATTCAAGAGACACCTCACATGACGACAATGGATCACCTCACAATATGACTATACATTTTTCATTATACATAGAGATTTGTTTTTTTTCCGAGACATTCATCTTTGGTTTCATTGTTAGGAACATTGCTGCATTAAAAGGGAACTATTTCATACCAAAATGTGGTTGTTAATATGACTGTATGAAATGTAAGAACTCTAAACAACTACAGCAGATGTGCTTTATGTGAATGAAGGCGGGTTGCCCACTCATCTACCCAACTTTTTTTTTTACATGGACACGTTAGTTGTGGTAGATGTAATTTTCCATTCCATCCAGTTGCAAGTTTTATGTTAGTTTTGTGTGTCCCGTCTAGACCTGTTTGTTAGCTTGCTTTCTTGCTGAGTATTTGTAGATGTGTTCTTCTTTTAAACCATGCAACAGTTTATTTCCAGGAGAAAATTACCTTCACAGAAATGCCTTAGATTTCACAGGAAGGGATAGTGAAGTGCTACTCAGATTTTGTGGGCTTGACCTCTGACTGGAATTGTTTTTGTTTTCATGCACTGCAAATGTTGAAAAAGACTTTTGTTATATCAAACTACTCTGAACATAGATCTATGAAGCAAAGAAATATTTACAACTTTTAATTACTATTTTGTGTCCAAAACATTGAAGAAAAACTGAACAGTGGCTTATTGAGTCTAAAGAACTATTGCTGCTAATTTTGAATTGCTAAGTATTTAGAAATCTTTTAGCTGAAGGTCATTCAATATATCAAGTCACGGGAGGTTAGTTTGTAATTCATGTTCAACGATGTCTGTGCAGTCTTGTTTTGTGCATCAAACAACCTCTCCTCAGTAAATGTTAGTCTGTGCCATGATGCAGCTCTTTGTCTTCTTGATAGAAAAAAAACCCTACAGCTATTAAAACTTTTAACTTGGTTTGATTTTGAACTTGTCATTTTTTTAATAAAAAAAATGTCACTGTGGTTTGCGTGATTTTTATTACACAAGGGACCATGTTATATATCTTGTAAAAAGGGATATGCACTACAAATAAGCCAAGACACACATCAAGGTTCTCTCATATTTATCAAATTATCAAACGTGGCAGTTTTTATATCAAACCCAGCTGATTTTGAGGTAATACACAAAGAACAGTCACAATACATGAGAATTTATTTCTAAAACAGAGTTGAATCTAGATAAAAAATATAGGAAATACGTAAAGAAAAAGTATATTACACTGTTCAAGAGGCCGTATATGTTTTAAGTATGTACAAAGTTCAAAATATACCGAATATGCCCAAAAGCTGCTCTCAAATGAAGAAACTCTGAAATACATAAAATAGACTTTGAGCCTTAATTTACAATCTTTGACTAATGTGTAAGAATGAAATGGGATGCTTTTTTCACCCTGCAGTTTTAATGGCAAGGTAAGACAACATTCTGCTACCATTATAAATCATACTCTGAGGCAATGTCATATCTGAGGACTATTGTGCGTTTTAAACAAACAAATAAAAATAATTCTGTTTCAGGTGAAATTTGGAAACTGGAAAAAAAAAAAAAAAAACAGGTCTCATGCCCAAATACAAAGACAGAATTTTTAGACAAGATGTCATTCAAATTCCAGTTTCGTGGGCATTCATATTTTCATTGTAAAGTCATTTTTTCTTTGCACATACCAAGAGTATCAAACATTGACAGTGCCACCAAAATGTAGTATTACTGTCATTATAAAAATGATGTAGCATAATGCGCTCACCTCCCTGTAAGACGAAAAACATGTAAACTTTGTATGTCTGCATCAAACTGAACATTGCAGCTCAGAGTATGGTTTCGTAAGCCAGTTAAAGCGGGTTTTTTTTCAAAAACAGTTCTGGCTGGGCAATACAAAACACGCAGTGTTTCAGCTGCTGTACTGATGCTCTATAGGTGCACCAAAAAAAGACTGGGAGGCAGTGTTTGGTTCTCCAGCAACATCCCATCAGCTCTGATCAGCTGTGGGCCGCAGAGTAGAAGAGCTGGTTCCTGATCTGATGAGCTGGTGTGCAAGTCTATCCCAAAACCGTACTGCTGTAAGAGGATCCTGCTGTCGAACGTAGCCATCGTTATGACGCGTGACCTCGTGAGACGACTATACGAGTTCACAGTCCTCATACTGACATCACAACAGCTTATGGTTCACGATCTCCCAAACCATCCTTTTTCTGAAGTAGGGCATGTGTTTCTGTGAAGAAAAACAGAGGTCACGTAAGCCATTTTTAGGCCACTATCATGATGATCATGATAAATCTCCTTTGCTGATGCGGTTTATGTTTACCTGAGTGAATGTGATTGGCTTGTCTTTGGTAATGTAATCTGCATATTTGCATGTGAACATTCCACAGTCGCTACCATTCATCTGCTGTGGGATTTCCTGAGAGGAAAGGAGGGGATAAAAATGTCATTATTATTTAAATTTGGACATTGCACAGTACAAAATGACTAATTATCAGTATAAATCTGACAGGATATTTGGTCAGTACTTCACCAACTGTTAAGATTTTGCTTTGACAATCAGATTTTGTCCAGCATCATGAGACATTTTGTTCTTGACAAAGAAACCGTATGAATAGATTTTGCACCGTAGTATAGTTTCTCTTCATTTGCTCCAAAGACTTTAAAAGAAAGCCACAGTACCACAAAACAACATTGTAAACACAAACACAATTTCAATGATAAACACAATAAATGACTAAACCAAGGTATTAGAAGCACTGCAAATGGGCACACAAGCCAGCAACCAGTCAACTAATGATGCGTTTCCAGAGGAGCATTGTTTTGAAGCTAGGAGACACGTGGGCTCCCACTGCAGATGGTTGCTTGGCTTTTTCTTCATATGTTGTACTGAAGGGGGGGCTTTAATTTACTCAGGCAAACAACACCTCTACTTTTTACTCCCACTCTCAACTTTGAAACAAGTGCCAGAGCCAGACAAACTTGTTTTCCCCCCTCACTGATTCAGTCTGTATGGAAGCGCATTAATTAGCTGCTGTTTACTGTATGTTAGAATCAAAATCCTGGTTAAATAATATTTGTTACTCATTTCAATTGAAAAGCAGTTTTTGACTTCACAAAAATCAAATATTACACAGGGTCGAATTGAAGGGTTTTACTAACTGTAAACAAGACCGCTGTCATTTTGTTAGAGCAGTTCTGCTAAAAAAAATGTATTGATCATAATGTGTAATCTCAGTAAAAAGCTTCAGACACAAAGGACCAATGAACAATCATCTCTGTCAATGATATATTTTAACCTTTTCAAGTGCAAATCATCAAACACATTATTACTGGATCAGATTGTAAGCTTACAATCATGTATCTATGTCTTTGATCTATATATTTTTCAAATCTGCCCCTGTGTTACATGTAGATGACACAGCATGACATGGCACAACAATGGAAACATACTATTTAATACCCTCCGCCCTCCTGTGTAGGACTTACATTGCGCCTTTTGCTGTGCAGAGTCCAGCCTGAGGTATCCAGTTCTTTGCCTTTCTTGTCTTTACTTTCCTGTTGCAGGTATTCACTGGGGAAATACAAATTAATTTATTTCTATACTCATGAAACTCAATTTCCCAAATAGAAAGTCCCAAATTTACCAACAAACCACTGTATCTTATAATGAAACTTACAACAATATTCTGCATGCTTCATCATTGCTTCTTCCCATAGAATCAAAGTACAGGATAGCCTTTTTGCGAAAATCCACCACCTGAGAGAAAGAGTTGCACAATAAAAAAACCACAATATAAATCCCATGATTGTTACTTCCAGGTTCACAGTTATGGCCATTAACACTTACAGAGAGGCACCAGTGCACCCCCAAGTGGACAGGAACCAACAGGATGTCTTTAGAAAAGATGTCCATCTTTTTGGTCCAGCGGCGGACAGCAGAGTAGCCACTGCTGCGCAGCTTGGGATAGAAAAAAGTGTTGAACGTATTGACTGATGGCAGGTTGGGGTCCTTGCTGCGCTCAACCAGCAGGTTCATGTAGAAGTTGATCACCTGAGATTAAGGAGGGAGATTTTCAATTCACTGGACAATTACCACTCTATGTCTCAGTTGTGCAACAATTACTAAAAAAAATAAAAAAAACAATATAATCATTGTTGTGTATTTTTGATGTATGTCAAGATATATGTATAACCAACACGAGAGTGTGGTGCTAAATGAATGCCTGCTGATCATTCACACACACAGATCTTACACCTTGAGGATAAATATGTACTCACCTCATCATTGAGCCAGTTGAGGTTGCTGAGGGTCTGCAGGTCTTTACGTGTGAGGCTGAGACCAAACCCTTCACTTAATACATCATGAGAGCTACCTCCTCTTAGCACCATGTTCACCTCATCCTCCATTTCCTTAATAGAAAGAGATAGCATACACGTGAAAAAGCAGGGAATATTAGCTCAACCCTTGTACTCATTCATATAAATGTGTTCCTAAACTCGTACAGCCTACACAAACGAAAAAAATGCTTGTACCACCCTGAATTCTAATATTTTGATCATTTCTAACCTTATTGTTTTTAACCAGAGAATGGGATTTCAATAAGAATGAAAAGTCAATTTGCTCTTAACTTAAGCAGCATAGACCACTTAATTTCAGCGAATTAAATCATAATCTTTCTAAGTGATAGCAAGTCTCCTTGGGTGGGTCATCTAAATTAATTCTATATATGATAAACATTGCATGCACATTAGGACACAATGACCACACCTCTGTAAGTTCGGGGAATTCTGGTTTCTCTTCCAAAGGCTTCGGTTCTTCTATCACAAGAGTCAAAGGAACCTCCTTCTCTAAAGGGACTCGAACATGGACCTCGACATCTGGGCTGCGTTGCCCCTCTTCCGACAGACGCTGGGAACCAGTTATAACATGACACAGGTCAGAGGGGTAACAAGAGGTCGAGAAAAACACATATGATAGAACTGAATCTGAAAGAAGGCTTCAGTGGTGCACACTCACCTGTCGCAGCAGCTGGGCAGCCAGGGCCTCCTGCTCTTCTATCTGTCTCCGTCTTTCTCTCGCTCGAGAGTCATACATACTTGTCCTACAGTGACAAAAACAATACATGTTTTCCTCTATTCAGAAATAATATCAGTGAATAGTGGATAAACAGTATAATTACATAGGAGTTTACTTACAATTCTTTGATCCATAACTCAGCTTGGAAACATGGCACACTGTAAAGACATAAAAAATATGTTTTTGAGAATACAAATAAAACACTTGAGTTGACTAAGCTTTGCTGACTTAAAAAGGACCAGTGTGCAGGACTTAGTGGCATTATGAATGAAATAAACAGCATCAGACATGAAAAGTTTAGACGTCTACATCTTTGACCATGCTTGTGTAAAGGGTAATCATGTTACACATTGCATTAACAACAGTGAAATATAGCTTGTGATAAAACAATGTAAGGAAGGAAATAGCAAGACTGACTGAAAACAAATACTAACCTTGAGCTGTCTGGCTTTTTACCCTTTTTCTCATTTACAATAATTACAGAGTCAGCGTCATGAGCTGCAAGAAAAGACAAGACGAAACACAGATTTGACATATGGTTTCCCATTTGACAAGGCCTATATTTCATTTATGTGCACACAGCAGGGGGTGAGAGTTTTACCTGATGATTGTGTGTCCTGAGAGGAGTTATCCTGCAATGCAGATGGGGAGGGAGCTGATGAGAGAGTAGCTGCTCTGCTGGAGCTGAGGTCTGTGTCCAGAGACCATGTCTGGATCCCTGGCCTGCTGGAAGCCCCCACTGGGCTGGGGAGGTTGCTGGAGCTCTGGCTAGATATGCCCCTGGGGCTGGGAGGACTGCTGGGTCCCTCTGACGTTTCTCCTGCTGCTGACCCAGTAGGCGAGGAGAACTGAAGTCTGCGGCTGGTGGTCAAAAAGCTGGTACTGATGAGAAAGTGACAGTGATAAGCAGTCAAAGCCAAAAAAGGATAGACATGGAACTATTAAAATGTATTAATCATCTAAATTAACCTCCCATTAAACGTGAGGAGAGTTTGTGATTGCAGTGAAGATGGATACTAGCTGGTAGTTGTGTTCCTTGCAAGGCAGTTCCACAAAAACAAGGCATATGTGCAACTACCATTGAGTATCCCTCAAATACGGTACAACAGTGAACAAAAGCTGGATTATGCTCCATGGCTGGTTCGACATTTGTTCATATACTGACACTAATATTGTTTAGTTTACATAGGTTAAACTTCAACAAAGCAGAAAATACTTGCACTTTTAAAATCTGCTGACAGCTGACTGTAAAAATATACAAGTAAAAAATGTTATGTCATTCCAGGATACGCAGAGTACAAAATTAGAGTTTGGAGAAAAGTACTGCTGTTAGGTCTATATGCTTCTGGAGCCCCCCACTGGCCTGCGAAATTAATTCTGGCAGCAATCTTGAGCCCCCCCAACCCGTGCATCTCTTTACATATTTCATGAACAGCTTGAATGTGGCATTGTTAAAGTTTACTACATTTGTATGGATACGTACAAATCTCTGTGTGACCTCACGATGGCATGTGAGCTGCCGTTGTGAAGGAAAGATGACTGACCACCAGAGACCATGGTCAGAAGCTGCCTGTAGACCTCCTTCTCTTCTTCACGAACAGACTGGACAAACACGGAGGAGAACCATGAAGTCAACAAAAAAATGCAACAACTGATATAGAAGAAATCACATAGTGCCTTATTGTCCTGACGTCTGACCTCTTGTGCTGTGCAGCGAGGTCTGGCCCTATGTACGCGGCCAGATGAGGTGCTGTGTGTTGGGCTCTGCACCACTTTGATGGGAAAGGTCTTCTCATACATGCTGGTGCAGGAACTGCTTGCAACTCCACTAAATAAACTGCAAACACAAAGCGACAGTGTGGTATTCAAACATCAGCTGACAATAGTTCACCGAATATAATATTAAATAACGTAACAAAAAGCAACTCTTGTATCAAAAACCAAGATGTAAGGAATACCTTGGCAATCCATGTGGTCGGAGGTTTAGGGGCCTGCCTAACCGTGGAGAGGGGTGCAATTCAGGGGTGATGGAGGGTGGCAAGTTGACTGAGTGCCCATTTGTTTTTGGCACTTCACGATGTGTAGGACTCATGCACACTTGTCGCCTACAGACTTTTGATCCCATAATGGACTTCTCATTACGCAAGCAGTCTAGAGTGAGAAACAAAAAAAGGGGTACAATTATTAACTTAACTTCAAGGCTTATACAAACACTAGCAACCTTGATGCACAAGCCCATACAATGCTTTAAGTGACAATCTTACCTGATTTGGAGGTTTTCCACTCCAAAGTTGTGGCGGGAGCAGTAAACATCTCATCCAGAGAGTTCCTTTCAACAATCTTAAAACAAACACATATATAAATAAAAGGTAATAAGAAATTTTGACATTAAGGGCCCAGAAACTAATTCCTTACCGGTCTCCCTGCCCAGACTGCTGCTGATGTTGAGGGCTGGGGTTCTCCAGGAGGAGGACCAGGGGAGGTTGGCAGTATATTTCTCAAGGTAGGGCTCACATTGTTCCTCATCCATGTAGCCACACTGGAGCTATGAGTCTTAACCCCTTCAGCTGCAATCTTGACTGTGTCAATTATTTCTCCTTGAGAAATTTGAAACAGACGGACAGACAAGACAGTAAGTGGGGTCATACTGATTTAACTTTATCGTCGCACATACTCACACAGTAATATGCAACGTAATAAAGGGAGTAAATATTTACCCATTCGAGATTTCTTTATCATTAGGCCATCTTGGTCGACGTTATGTCCATCTTCCAAACTTTATGAAACAGATTGATGCTACATAGTTAGTACCACAGTCCATTCATTTCGACAAACTGGAAATAAAGTCTTCACATTGTAACAAATAGTTGAGACGCTCAACGAACAGCGAGGCAATGAATAGCGGCTCTACAGAAACGTTAATTACACAGACTCATTAAATAACTTCAAAGCAACTTGGGGTCAGTTTGATTCCGTGTCTTTTTAAACACACCGACTTTTGATTACACGAGGGACTAACGCCGTTGCAGCTCATACCATTCAATCGGTCTTTTCCTCCTGATCTGACCATCTCCCGCTGCCCGGTGTGCATCAGAGTGCTCCGCAGCTGGTACACCATTGCGAAGATTGGCAAAGCTTGTTTCTATCCATTCGTAGATTTTATTCAACATGGCTCAAAAGTTTTAGAAATAACGCCGCTAGTTTTACGGACAAATCGCTATCGCGTTAGCTGCTTTCGGTTTACCTGTCAATATAGCCAAACCAAATGAAGCTAGTGCGCTTCATTCGCCTGAGGCAGGTCAACCGAGGCTATTTCAAAGGTTAACACTCCTCACAAATATCATTTTACCTTTCCACGAACCGAGCTAACCGTTAGCTACTTAGCTGGGAATTAGCTAGTTGCCTAGCTAGCACACTAAGCTAACTACCTTGCTAGCTAACGACGTTAGCTATACGGCTAATTTATGGAAGTGTGTTTAAATTCCAACAGGGATGCGACAAATCGCAACCAACGCGTTCAAAAAAACGGTTATCATGTTGAGTCACACCCTAACTCATTTGTATAGCCTTAACGTGACTTTAAATTGCATATAAACTCGTTGAAGAATACTATCTCCCGCTTCTTCCTCATTCAAAACCACAACATGGCTGAACAGGACGCTCAACCATCGCACGTTGTGATTGGTTGCCTGGATGTTGTACGTCTGAGGGTACTCGACATCGACTGGTTGGTTACGGATTGGAGGAGACCATTTAATATCACGTCACAGCCGCCGGCATCGACTTCTGAACACAGTTTCATCTCTATCACATTCAGACGCCACACGCAATTATTTGGCTTTTAGCCTTCAATCACACAGGTTGATCTCGTCTCTTCTGATTTTTCTATTTTAACTGAAATAATAATAGGAAGATGATCGTTTATGCCAAACACATATGGTCACATATTGTGTTCTCAGATTTATTTTCATTCATAATTAGGTATAACGTATTCCAATACGTTCAGAGTATTTCTCTTCAGTCTGTAACTAATTAAAGTGACAGACAACAAAACAATGCAAACCAGGGAGATAACCTGTTTAGTCAAAAGCATGCTTGAAATAGTCTTTACTTGTATAATTTGTCCAATGAAACTTATAACAGACTATGGTATAGACTAGGTGTGACATTGATATTGGAGGATGAGAGAGGAGGCCCATGCAGATCATTAGTTCAGCTCTGTATGGGCAATTATTTTGTCACCTGGGCATCAGAATACCAAACTAAAGCCACATTACCTGCCCAAGCAGCACTACATGACCTTTACCTAGCCTTGGACCTTACAGGATTAACTAACTATGTTTTGTGGGTTTAATAACTAGAAGAAAAACCAAACACACAGTCACATTTTGGACAAATATATATTACAATAATATATTGTGAAAATATATATATGTACAATTTGTGCATTTCAGTGTTCACAAAGCAATAGACTATAGAGATTCTTATAGCAATAGAAAACATGGCTTCAAAACAAACATAGAGGAATAAGGAACTTATATATAACTGAAATAACCAAAAAAGTCTTCTTTACGAGGACTAGAGTACTGAATATTTTAATTGAAGACACCTCCACAACATTGAAATGTTTAGGCTATAAAACTGAAATTAAGCTGTCCTGTTTATCAAATAAATTTTTTACATAGCGTTTTAAAATGAGCAACATAGACTAAAATAAAAGTAATAAAGAGGAGATTAAGCACATTATTATTTATTAAATCAAAGAGAACCAGTGATTGAATTCACACATTCACCATTTAATAAATTAATACAGTAACACCAATGCTACAGTGAAATGCAGGGTGCCCTTAAAACAATATACTGCATCAATATCATCAAACAAAGGTAATCAAAGGGCACTTTATAAGATTATAAATTCATTTCAAACTTCAAACTCTTTTACATTACACTTTCTGAAATATATCATTCTGTCATAAAAAAATAAACTTCATATGTCATGAAATATAGCATTCAAGCCCCTTCACAAATGCAGGCCTTATCAAAAGTTTCAGTAAATCCATGCATGTATGGCACTGTCATGTTTATATTTGATTATCATGTGTCACCACTTCCAACCAAGTGAATGAGTTTAAATAATAAAGAACAAAAACTATAATCTTTGTTCAAACTATTTTTCATGAAAATAAGTCTTAAACAATCTTCATTCAAAAAATTTCAGGTTCAAACACTTGTTAGACAAAATACATACTAATAATAAACCCTGCAACAATGTGAAGACAATGTATGAAAGTTAAATAGAGCAAAAATCAGCACGTAGACACATTATACAGTAAATGAGATGAGTGGCAACATCCAAAATCCGATAAATAGCATTTTCAGATTGTCATTCAAAAGCCAGAAAAACATGTCGCCTAACCTCAAAGGTTTCTTGTAATTCACAGTATTGAGACAACATTTGATATGATTGAAAACACAGGAAAACTCTTTTGCATCTTTGAAGCTTTTTTAAAGCAACATTTGTGCTTTTAGTCACTAAATCAACACCCACAGCATTAGTCCAATGATGAGATGACTGTATGTGGGATTGTTAGGGCTTTGTTATTTAAAAAAAACAAAACACAGATAAATAAAAATGATATACTTGTTGTTAGGGCTTTTTTTTAAAGTCATGCATAATGTATTTTAGACCAGATACCTCTTAAAGGTCATTGACATCTATTGTTTGCCCATACAGCTTCAGATGAACACTAACAGTATGTTTTATCTATGTTAAATGGAAGAAGCTCACCGATCACTTAATGTTTCTGGCTGGTAAAGCTAGTAATCTAACCCCATGGTGGGTGCACAACATGCTAAAGAAGAGGGATAGATTATTGACATTTTGGATTTGAATACTGACATGTGCATGGATAGCTGTACAAGAGATTCACAAAGTATTCGTGACCTTATCAGTATCAGGCAAAAACTAAATAAATAAAGCTGTTACAACTGGAAGCACTGTCATCACATTCACCAAAATGTTAAAAGACTCTTATCATGTCTGCCTAAATTGCCATACTGGTGCATCCCTTGTCTGTAAGTAAGAAAGGTTAGGCTATGGTTTACTCTCGTTTTGTTCCAAAGATTTGAAGGAAGAAGGAGAAGATGTAGATGATATCTAAGTAGAGGTTGAGAGTGGCGAAGACGTACTCTTCTGGATTAATGGAGTAGCGCTTGTTCCCCATGAGAAGCTGGGTGTCAAATGCCAAAAACTACAACAGAAAATAAAACGGCAAGTAAGACATCTTTTTGTTTGTTTATGATTCTGATAGTCTACAAAATATGATCATTTCTATCAGTAATGGCTTGACAGTGTCTGTACTCTTACCATGGTAAACAATATGGCCCCCAAGGCAGCAAAGGTGGCATCCAGCCAGGGTACCTAAATGGGGAAAATGACTTGATTAAATGTGATTCCAGTTTAGATAACCACATGAAAGGCCCATGTAACATTTGAATGCATATGATTGTACAATTACTAAATATGATCTCAATTTAGAGTTGATTCTGCATTAGTCTCATGTCAAATATTTGTTGGACTGTTGATTTACACATGGACAAGAAAGGGAGAGAGAGAAAGAGGGGATGACACGCAGCAAGGGGCCCACTACAGCAAGGACTCAGCCTTGGTACATGTGGTGCCAACTCTACCAGGTGCGCTTCCAGGGTGCCCTGTTTACATTCCTATTCGATGTAACTATGTCTTGGTTGTCTGAAAATCCCCCAACCTTACATGACACACAACTGGTGGGATAGCTTGATTTAGATAGTTATACTTACATAGTGATAGGGAAGGACGAATGCCAACACCAGTCCAGAGACGAACATGACCATGCAGAAGACGAAGAGCACGCCTTGGTAGGATGTCACGTCAAACTGGATGGAGAAAGCACATGAAATCAAACCTAAATATGGTAATCCAACAGTGTGACAATCCGGCACACATGAATGACTTTCACTAAGTACATAAAAGTACATAAAAAGAAAAATGTTAGCTTTCTCACCTTAGTTTGGAAGCTGAAGATGGTGACCAGGAGGCAGACTGCTGCTGTGATGCCCAGACACATCACCACTGACTTGGTGTTATAAAAGCTATTAAAACAAAAAACATGCAAAACTTACTGAGAAAGTTCCAACCATACAGTTTTATGTAAGCCTACATTTCTGGCCACAAACACCGGCTCACATGCTGTAAAGAAAATACATAGCTGCCTAATTATCTGGATAGGAGAGGGTCTGAAGCAGCAAGACCTACCTGGACAACATCCCTGTCATGTAGGAGAGCGACAATGTCTGTAATGGGAAATATGATAGTCATGAGAAAATGCAGGCATTTGTTTAAAAAAAGCTTTGAACATGTCATGACTGGAAGGCATAAACTTTTATAAAATATATTTTATATATTTGTTTTAGATGATTTTAACTGGTATGGCAACTTATAATCATTTGCTAATTTATGAATGTATTGTTTGCAATTCTAAACCTCAGCTTGTAGTTGCTCATCTAATAACACAAATTCAGTCCATACAAACGTTTATTAAAAACATAACAAATATCTGCCTTGTACTTACAAAGATGCTAAGCAGAATCAGATTCCATGGAAACTGTCTCCTGTAGGAGGGAGTAAAACATTGAAGTTTTAATATTGGAGGTGTTTTGTGTTTTTTTTTTTTTATATATATTGTACACTTAATTTTGAAAACCTTTAACTCACCTTGGTGCAGAGCAGCAAGAGAGGGTCAGATATGTGACAAAGAACACAGCACTGTTAAACAAAAGAAATATTGTTAGATAGAAGTGACTGAAAACTATACAGAGTAACTGTGTATTACTGACTTGAGACTGACTAAACCTGTTACTTACTAAGAGGCCCAGTACCACCCAGGGTTGCTTTGAATGTAGTCCTTCACGGGGTCACTAAAAGTAACATAGTCTTAAGTAAGCGCACAACTCGGTGGATTTCTATCAGAATTACTTAAAATCAGTATTGTTAAATATGAAATAAGAAGACTAGACTAATGCTCACCAGAATGTGAAAAGAGCCACAATAGCGAGAGTGACCAAAAGCTGGATCATCAAGATGGCATACACCTAAAATAAAGCAAGTTAAAATCAAACAAAATTGCATACTGGTAATTATACATGTGCTGGTGTGTGTAGGCCTTTAACGTTTAACAGTTAATATGAGGTAAATTATCAGTGATATGCAGCATTCACAACAGAGTTAATATTGTAATCATAATGTCATGATAAAGCGTTTGATACCTTACGGATGAAGACCCTCCTGATGTTGCGATCATCCCAGGTGAACTCTGTGAGCATCTCAACATCATTATAGCAAGGTGCACTGGTGCCTGGAGAACACATATATTTATGTAGGACTTTTTGGTAGTAAACACTACAGTGTATTCTTTCAGCCAACATACAGCCTACTTATGATATATATATTAAGATAATGACTAACTTTATCATTAAATATAGAGGGATAAAGTGTTGTCATACTTGCAGTGGCTTCCTCATAGCTGGGAGGAACTGGTGACACTAAGACTTGTTCACTGGAGGAGCCATTGGCGGTCTTGTTTGCAAGTAAAAGCTGAAAGGCCAAAAGATGAACAATTTGTTATCTTTTTGTTTATAATCTGTCATTTTAGGTGAGAGTAAATCAATATTTGAAGACAAACAAACTCCCTTACATTTAACATGAACTTTTAATGTCTGGTTTTGAATGTAGTGTTCCCCTGTCTGTCAGTAAAGTAACTAGTTAACTAGTGTGATATTATACACGCACACACACACACCACCTGAAAATGTAAAACTATAAACATCTATGCTGCAGAGAATCACAATGTGTAATTATTATTTCTCAGTGAGTAGTAAATCATATTTCAGGAGGTTCTTTATTTTGAAAAATCGTAAATGGTAAAAAGATAAATGGTTCTGACAGATTTGCAGTTTGAGTACTGCTTATGTATCGGCACTTGGATACATACAATCATTTATATTCTTTCTTTTACAGTAGCAACAGTTTAGGTACTATCATATTGTACACTGGAATTTAAAGTGTTTTCATTGCCAGGGCATTCACTTTGACTTTCACATGATGAAGTGCTTCCACTTGTTGACATGTCAGCTGACATTTCATCTGCCTCCACCCGATAGGTCACTTTTTCCATTCCTAACATTTCATGGTATTTTATTAAATTATTTAAATGTCAGCTGGACTTCATCTGTATTTTACCTCCTTTCACCTCTACCACTGATATACAGTAATAAGACTACATGTACGATTTGGGTCACAGACCATCAGTCTCTAAAAGATAATTAGATAACCGGCGATGCTTGAAAATCCCCAATTTTTTTTTTACCGCTGTTCTTCTGACCATATTTTTTTTATGAAACTGTTCAAACCATCAGGATGAATAATGTGTAATAATGTGAGAGACACACACGGTGGGGAGCTCACAGCCGCGTTTTATACCAGCGCTACAGAGAGAAACGAGTTGTCATGGTGACGCAACATGGTAAAACAGCCAGTGACGCACTTCATTCACATAAACCCCGGCAACAGTTCAGCCTTAAACAACACAAAACATATGTCTGCATACGTGAAACATTACAACAGGATTAAGGTGCCATTAAGAAACGACTTTATGTAACAGTTATTGAATCCTGCGGGAATTTGTGGCTACAAACACTATACTATGTCTGCAGGACAGAAAAGCCACAGTCATGTTACCAGGCTCTACTTATCATTCATTAGAATGACTAAATGTGCCACAGCTGAATAGCCTGCATTGCCATAAAGCATTTCTAAAGGGATGGAGCAGAGGCACGCATATCAACTGACTGTTACATAATAATCTAATACATAGAAATCAAACGCACAGAACTGTTTTTAATTGTGATAATTAACGGGAATAATAACTTTTTAATACGATTAAATGAATGCCATCATTAAAGTAAGCTCATACCTTGCCCTGTGTCATGATGCCCGTGTGTCGTCCTGCAGTAGGTTGTCTAGTTCTGTCTTAACCAGTAAATGGTGATCTGGTGTAGTTCTTGCAGAGTCTGGCTAAACTGTCAGAAAAGACCTCTGACTGACTGTGCTCTTCTTCGTCTCTGCTCACTGACTGAACACCCTCTGACGATGTAGTGATGTAATCCCCAAACAACGCAGTTAAGACTCGTGCAGATACCCCTCCCTCACCCAAAGAGGGATGTTCTAGCAGCATCCAGGTGAAGCTGCACCATAGAGAAAAGCTGGGACTGTACCACGGTAGGAAGGCAAATGGGGAGGATGGAGGCCTGTCCAGAAAAATCTGGAAATATGGTCTGCATCAAAACTAAGAGGGGAATTGCAGGGGCTAAAGTATTTAGACATTTCTAGATTTAGTTAGAATGTTTTCTGTTAATTTAAATAGGCCATTTGATTAAGAATGATCTGAAATAGAAGTGAATCCATTTTGTATTTTTTTTTAAAAACGATTGGTGCAGAAATAGTTTTTAATGCCAAGAGGTTTTGTTAATGTTGAATGAAATAAAAAAGAAGTAACTTTGGTAATTTGGTAAAGTAAAATATTTATATCACACTATTTTATGATTATTTGGAAACTCCAAATGATACAACTGAATACATATTCATATAACAAATAGCAAACAAATACATATTCATTATGCACAATATGCACACTTTTATTTAAAAGTGTTAAGAACAGAAAAAATGTTAAGACAGTACAGATAAAATATCCTGTAGACAAATGCAGAAAAAGCATTCAAAGTAAAACTGACCAACTGATTGCTCTTATCATTAAAAATACACAGAAGCTGGAAAAAACAACAACACACACACAGAAATAAAAGTACTGTGGAAGAAGTACTATAAGAACTGACATTCAGATACTGGTCTACATGTAAGTTATGACTTATTTCTTTGGATATTCATTGAGCTCTCTGTAAACTCACATCTTTTCACATCCGTTTATAAACAAACATATGATGGAACTAAAATATTACGGATCCTTATAGGGATAGTGACAGGTTAACACATCACCCCATCTCCCTATAGGACACAATGAGGCAATGGTATGTTTTTATCTGGAATAGTTAATGGAATGATAAGAGTTTTGGATATGGCTGACAAAGCTTCCTGCAATTTACTTGACAAATTAAGGTAGATATGGTTCATGTTCTGAAAGCATCCATACAGGATTAGAAAAACTCTCTCCCAAAAACAACAAAGAAGTACCAGGGGGAAACATAAAAATGGAAATTCAACTGAATTCTAATTTACGAAAAACAGCCACTGATGCATTTGGCAAAATGTAGACTTATGACTACTCCAGTGGAACACATGAGGTTTCTACTTTCAGACAAAACTGGCACAATACATTTGAAACCAGTCACACATGAATGGATATGTGGTTTATCTCCTCAGAACATCTCCCCCTCCCCTCTGGTTCCCTCCAGTCTCAGGTCTGTGTCGTTTCTGCCTAGAGTGAACAGACTGACTACAGCCATCAAAGCTGCCAGCATCATGACTGCACAGCCTCCAAACATGTGTCTGGTGCCGCTGCCAGCCTCCCCTCCACCTGTTCCTGACATTTCCCCATGGAGCGCCAGCAACCCTAGGCAGGCCAGCAGGTGCAGAGGCAACCGGAACCAGGCCAGCACACCGGCTCGCTTTTCCTCTGGGATCACCCTGCCCTGGAGAAAGCTGACTGCAGGGAAATAGAGGCCACAGGCCAGCTCCAGCAGCAGAAAGGCCAGAAAGGACTCATGAGGTCTTGGCTGGCCAGGAGCAGTGGAAAAGGTCAGCATGAAGAGGGAGAAGAAGGCCATCAGCACAGCCAGGCAGAGAACATGGCCAGGCTGAAGACGGTAGCGGGTGGAGGTGGCTAGGCGGTACAGCAATGAGCCGGCCATGCTGGCAGCCATCAGGCAAGAGAACACTATTCCCAAAGGAGGTCCATGAGGGTCCAGTACCGGGGTCCACAGGAAAACAAAAATGTACAGGACACTTTCAAACAGAGCCTGCACTCCACCCAAGAGCAGGACTCTCCTGTCCGACAGCAAGCAGCGTAACCCATCATGGCAACTGCGTGAAAAGCGGGCCCACGCAGACAAACGGGTCACACCTCCATTTGGAGTGCCAAGATGCAGTGTTTGTTTGTCCCCTGCAGGACCTTCTTCCGCCTCTTCCTTGCCCCAGTCTGTTAGCACCACCCAGGCACAGCACGCCAGGCAGGGTACAGCCAAGAGAAAGGGAGCCACGGGCCCCAGGTGGAGCCACTCAGCCAGCAAGTTAGCCACCAGCCCTGCTCCTACAGCGAGCCCATGGTTCCAGGTAGCAGCTTTGGTGAAGGTGCTGGGGATCCACTCCTTGGGAAAATCGTGGATGTCTACATGGCGGTGCACATACCAGGCTTCAAATGTGGTGGTGAGCAGGGATGTGGACAGACCCCCCAGGACCCGGCCCACAATCAAAACAAAGTAGTCTCTGGACAGCTTGGTGAGACAACAAGCAGAGTAGGACAGGCAGAAGAGAAGACATGTCTGTCTGCGGCCCAAGACTTGAGGGAGCCAGCCTGAAATAGGAGCAAACAGAACACAGGAGGCCAGGCCACACACATACAAGATGGCTATTTGGGATTCCAGGAAACTGTAATGGCGGTACAGTTTGTAGAGGTAAGGACCCTGGAGCCAGTCTGCCCACAAAGCCAAAAGGTATGCCCGGAGAAATATACTCTGGAAGCGGCGGAAGACTGGGTTGGCTACAGCAGTAGGAGTAGACTGAGGTGGGGTGAGACGGCGTGCTGTGAGCTCGAGGCCAACACACAAGGCAAGCAGGAAAATGATGGCAAGGTATGCTGTCACCAACATGGTGTGATAAACTGCACCCACTTGAGGTCAAACCTGAGGTCCTAAAGGCGTTTTCAACTCATTTCTTTCCATTTCCCAGCACCTGTGGAGAAGAGACAAGATGAACAAGTATAGAGAAGAGTGTTAGGAGTTACCACTGAACCAGTTCCTACAGTTAATCACTCTCCATGTTACAGTTCGTAGCTAACAACGTTAACGAAAAGGCATTTCATTTTAGGTATCCAGCAACTCAACAGAAACGGCATTAGCTAACGTTAGTTAGTATGTATTTACATGCATTAATGGCGGACAGCTTGAGTGGTGACAATTTAGTTAATTTTATTTAAATACGTTGACTAACTGATAGCCCTGAAATGTACCTGCATGCTATTGTTATGTAGCTAACGCTAGCTTAGAAGCTAACCTGACGTTCAGATTAAATTGCTGTAACTGTGCTACTACAATATCTTCTCCATTATACTGTATCAGACTATGTGATGTGTCTTACCGTGCCGTTTGACAGCGGTCCCATAGTACTTACACGACGTACGAAAGCGTTAACATAAAACATAACTAACCTAAGTGATGCTGTAGCTTAAGTGCTAGGCAAGTGTGCCTTTAGTAGCAAACAGTTAATTCACTTCCGGGATCCGGGATCCGGGATCCATTACTTCACCACAAGGTGGCATCCCTACTTTGCTTTTTGATTTCCAGGGGCAGGAGAGAATCGCTTAATGTTTCCAGACTTCTCTTTCTCGGAGGGCCAGTCCCATTCTTAAGGTTGGATTTTATTTATTTGCTATAAATAAATTATTAACGTCAATTAGGTCAATTGAAGCAGTAGAAGAAGTTAGTTCTTTTAAAAAAAAATGTTTGTAGTTTTTCTGATGAAACAGGCACACACGATCCAATATTGTATGTGTACAAGATGACATGATGATACTTAATACATTGTTGGGATCTGTCTAACCCATAAAGGCTGTTGCCCTTCTGAGTGACTCTATTATGCATACCTTAATAGCAAACAGGGTATTATATGTGTTTCATATGACAACGTATGTGCATCTAGCCTTACTCATAGCATTACTCATTTCTGACATTTATACAGTCCTAACTACTCAGCAGATCCTCCTTACTTACTGCTTTTTGCCTGGATGGACACAAAAGAACGACACACAAGCGGAGTTATACATAATTCGAACTTTATATCATTTCTATTTAGGAATAAACATTTACAAAATGTACAAGATGTCCTCAATCAGTCATAATCAAACAAGCAAACAGTGAGAGGACCAATCAAATAAGATTTCTCACACAAAAATATCTCTTGTGTTTGTATGACAAACATTGGGGGCAGAAGAAGGGTGCATGTGGAGTGAGTGCTGGTGATTTCAGGGATTATGCTGGTTGGTTACATCATCTGATAGCAGGAAGTTTGTCTAAACCATCTGAAAATCCCTTCTACATATTCTCCTGTGCAAAGCCCCCTTGGCATAGCCAAACCCCCACCTAATACAGGAAGCTCAGTACATTCTTCTTTACACCGAACTCATCCGTCCGATCCATTATATCAGTTATTGATACATAGACATTGGGGTAACATAATATTTACAGCAACAAAAATAAACAAAGGAACTACAAAATCCAACATGCATGGAGTGTCTCCATCAGTCCAGATGTGATACAATATAGTGACACAGACACACGTTTTTGTGAAATAATATAAAATGCCATTGGTGTACCAAATGTCTTCTGGAAGATCAGTCAAAAACAGTAAGACAGAATGCATCCTATTGTGTACAAGTGACACATTAAAATGGTGATCTCATTCCAGTACTAATGCAGATTGTATGTTTGTGAAACAGTGATACACAGTTACCTTAATATTTCAGATTCCGCTATGTATTATATACAGGTTCCCTTTCTTTTAAACACAAACTGACACATAGTCAATCATCACTAATGGTCCCTAAGTAATAACAGTTTGGAGCTAAGATATCCGTCTTTCAGCTTGCTGCTTAGTGATCGCCTGTTGATACTGTACGAGTTAAGGAATAAACAGAAGTGAACTGGCTTTTATTCTTAAGTACACTGGATATAATGAGCAAGTGCACACATGATTTGTCCAAAAGGGTAATAGTAAGTCTACACAATAATTATTTTACTGGAACAATGTCTCTTAAGAGGTGTTGAGGTTAATGTGTATACATGAGTTTATGTGTATGTTTCTTTGTCCCAAAACATTGCATGAAGATCAATAACGAATCCAAAATATGTTCGCTACTGGCCTCATTTATCCGTTTGAAAAACACTCCTCAGATTGCACAACTCCTTGTTCCTCAATTCTCAAGGAAGTCCTGCC